CTTATCTTCGCAGGCAAGCAGCTGGAGGATGGTCGCACCCTTGCCGACTACAACATCCAGAAGGAGTCCACCCTTCACCTGGTGCTCCGCCTCCGTGGTGGTATGCAGATTTTCGTGAAGACCCTCACCGGCAAGACTATCACCCTTGAGGTTGAGAGCTCTGACACCATCGACAACGTCAAGGCCAAGATCCAGGACAAGGAGGGCATTCCCCCGGACCAGCAGCGCCTCATCTTCGCCGGCAAGCAGCTGGAGGATGGCCGCACCCTTGCGGACTACAACATCCAGAAGGAGTCCACCCTCCACCTGGTGCTCCGCCTCCGCGGTGGTCAGTAATTGCCCTGGCGTTGGACCTGCTGGTTTATCCTTGGTCGTCCGTACCCTGTCGTTCATTTGAACTGTTTTCTTGTTCGTGTCAGTCCTATGTGTTGGTTTGAAAACTATCGAGTCCCCATGTTATATGTTGGTTGAAAATGTTGCTGGCACAGCAGTATCGTCAAGTAATGAATAAGTGAATTTCAGATAAATCTGCTTGCGCTAATTTGCTGTTGGTTTTGTATCGTGCTTGAATTGCTTGCTTGCAGTTTTGATCTGGCAATGATCTTATTGCGGCCTTTTTGTTTATAGCTTGCGCTTGAATTGCTTGTTTGATATATTTGGCTTTCTGTGACTTTCTGGACCCTGTGAAACCGTTGGCTGTAATGTTCAGATTTGGATGATGCAATTTTATACTTCTATCTTGTTTCTAGAAATCCTTTGTGGGATACCTGCTGCGTTATTGTGTTTCCGGTTTGTGTTAAAATTCTCGTTCCTGTTTTTTTTTTTTGCGTGTGTAGTCTGCATGACGGCAGTTTAACACAAATATTTCTGAGTTAGATGCATTGTCGTTGATTAGTGGCGCTAACTCATTTTGCTGTCGAAATATGTTGCCTTGGGGCCGTGGCACACAAGGATTTTTGCTCTAATCGGAGGCGATGGATGTTACACAACCGGTGGGTGTTGGTTGTGGAGCGGAGGCGAGTTGGGGCGACCGCCGCTGGGTGCTGCAACTGGCGATGACGGGGTGATGCCAGCTCCATCGAGCGATTTCTTTTAGCGGAGGAGGTTGTTGTGACTTGTGAGGGTAGGACTGAAAACACTCCCTCGCTCCCCTGCTCCCCCGCTCCCTCCCGCCGTGCGCCAGTCCACTGCGCCTAGGCGCTCTCGCCGCAGCCACTCCCACTGCGACGACCACCTCTCTTGCCGCCGCCGGTCTCTCCTCCCGGCCCCGTTTCCTCCTTGTGACCTCGTCGTTCGGTCCGCAGGGGGAGTGCCTGGTGGTGTCGGGGCTGGGGATCTCGTCCAGTTCCGAGGGCTCGGATGCTCGCGGCCCGGACGTGGTGGTCGACGAGGCCCCTGCCCCTGGGCCGGTGCAGGCCCCGTGGGTGCGTCCGCCTCCCTCAAGAGCTTTGGAGGATGAGGCACTCCCCTGACGGCCCGAGCGGTCGTGCGCGGTCCCCCGCGCGGCCTGCGTCGCCGGTTGAGGTCTCGCCGGAGATGAGAGACAAATGCTTCAAGTGTTTCGAGAAGGGCCACTACAAGAACGAGTGCACCAACCAGATCGTCTGCTTTAGATGCGGCTTGCCCGACCATGGCTTCAAGGACTGCAAGCGGCCGAGAAGCCCCTCTTCGGTGGATGATCTGCGCAGGGAGGCGGTGGCCAAGGTGGCGTGTCGCTCTGCTCCATCCCCGCACCCGGCGCACGTGGCGGTGCCTAGCAACGCTGGCCAGTTCCCGGCGCCCCAGCCCGCGGCTCTGGGTGTCGATTCGGCGTGGCCACCTCTGGCGCCGCCGCGGCTTCAAGTGGAGGCCAGGGCCGTCGAGGTGCCCGCAGAGCTATGCATCGTCAGGCGTTCCGCGGTGGTGTCCGATTTGGAGCGTCGCCTTCAGTACGCCATGGTGGCCTATGTGGGCGGCCAAAGGAGGGTGCTTGCGCCGGCGCGCGTGAAGGAGATCCTCGCCGAGAAGCTGGACATTGCCCCAGAGCTCGTGTCAGTGCATTGCTACAGTCCAGAGGATTTTTTGGTGGTTTTCGCTTCTGCGGATGTGCGGAACAGAGTGGCGGCTTGCCCTTCGGTGGAGTTCGAAGGAGACATGCTGATCTTTAGGCCGTGGAATCGGCAATCGCAGGCAGTTCATTCGGTGTTTGGTTTCAAGGTGTGGCTGGAAATTGAGGGCATCCCCCCTCATGCATGGGATCGCTCCGTGGTGGAGGAGTTGCTCGGGTGTTCTTGCAAGGTCGAGGCGGTGGCACCAGAGACGGCTTCTCGCTCCGACTTGTCCTCGTTCAAGCTCACGGCATGGACGGCGAACCCACAAGACATCCCCATACTTCGGTGGTTGGCTGTGCCGAAGCCGGGCATGGAGGCGCCGCCCGCCCTCCTGCAATATACGGTTCTCATTCACATCGACATGATCATGGACTTGAGGGAGGCCGGCGAGCCGTGGTTCTTTGGGAGCTCATCAGACAGTGGCCAAAGTGGCCTTCCAGACAACAACGATGGCGACCTCACGGGCGGCGGGCCGAGGCTGCGCAGGCTGGCATGGCAGTTCGGCGTTCCGAATGTCCGCGTCGGCAGTCACGGCGGCATCGCCGTCGGAGAAGTGGGTGGGGCCTGGTCCAGACCAGCGGGGCATGACTGGCGCCTCCCCCCATGGAGTCCCCACCTGTCGCTGCGATGGAGGCCCCAGTTGTCCCTATCCTAAGCAGGCTGACGCGGCGCATGTTTGCTTTCAAACGTTTGACTGGTCAGGCCAATCGGGAAGCTTCGAACAGAAAGGCTGTTGAGAATTCAAACGAGATCGGAGGAACAATGGCCGCACAATTGGTGGTGGCCTCGGAGCAAGTGGTTTGGGGCAGAACGTTGGTGCAGGATCCGATGGATATTCTCCCGCCCCGGCTGCAAGGGCGTGTGGCGACATGCCAGCGGGAGGAACTGGTGGGCACATGCACTGTGGTCGTCCAGTCTGGAACGTTGCTGGCGGGGCCGCAGGTGACAGCTCCATAGATTCCTGTCGCTTTGGAAAAGATGGGGCCAATCCTCAAGCCGATGGCCATCAAAGCAGGGGAGCTGGGATCCCAAGGAAGAGAGTCGATTGGGCATTCGATCGGCGCAACCAATCTGCCTGTGACGCCGCGGGGTGATCCGTCCAATCCGGAGAAGGGCGCGACGCTCGTGGATAAGTAGGATGCAGCGGACCCAAGGCATGATCACGTGGTGGAGGAGCAAGCGGTGGTGCCACCTGGCTAGGCCCTGGTAGTGGAGGGCATGCAGCTGACGGATGATCACACATTGGTCGGGCCCCACCCTGATGGGACTCATGCAAGCTTTGCATGTGACACTGTTCATGTAGTCGTGCCAACGGATGTGCATGCAGAAAAAGAGATGCCTGCTGAGAGGCTTGTGGAAGGGGGCGCCAAGGAGACATGCTTGGAGATTGTGATGGCCAACGACCCAGTCAATGGACTGACATCCAAGGAGGTGGAGATGTACGCGAAGCTCAAGGGTTTCTGCTCATGCATTGTGAAGAAGCTAGCACCACCAATTCTCAAGGAAGTCGGGGCTTCCACCTTGCGGCTTGAGGCAGAACCATTCACCCCCCAAAGAACCACTTGGGCAACCAAGAAATCGGCCCCGCAGATCACGCCAAGAGCCACACTTGCGGAGAATGTGCTCCTGCGCACACTGGGAATTGTGCCGGAAGATATGGAGGTTGAGGACACAGCTGTGCAAGAGCTCAAGGCACTCTTTGATTATCCTCTATGCGAGCAGCATGTTCGTGTGATTGCAGCACTGTTCAGCAAGGCTTTGCCTGGGCAGCATCCTGGAGCTAGTACCAGAGCGATGGAGGGAATCGGCGCACATTGAGCGTGCTCCGAGGTGGGTGAGGGTGTAAATCTGTTCCATGGATTTAAACCCATCGGTGACGTGCTGGAACGTTCGAGGATTGAACAATCCAGCGAAGAGGCAAGCGGTCAAAGATTTCCTAGTTTCGGTGCGGCCTAACCTAGTGTGCTTACTGTTGGGGAACGTAGTAATTTCAAAAAAATTTCTACGCACACGCAAGATCATGGTGATGGCATAGCAACGAGAGGGGAGAGTGTGTCCACGTACCCTCGTAGACCGAAAGCGGAAGCGTTATGACAACACAATTGATGTAGTCGTACGTCTTCACGATCCGACCGATCCAAGCACCGAACGTACGGCACCTCCGTGTTCAGCACACGTTCAGCTCGATGACGTTCCCCGGACTCCGATCCAGCAGGGTGTCGGGGATGAGTTCCGTCAGCATGACGGCGTGGTGACGATGATGATGTTCTACCGGCGCAGGGCTTCGCCTAAACTCCGCGACGATATGACCGAGGTGGAATATGGTGGAGGGGGGCACCGCACACGGCTAAGGAACGATCCGTAGATCAACTTGTGTGTTCTAGGGTGCCCCCTGCCCCCGTATATAAAGGAGCAAGGGGGGGAGGCCGGCCGACCCTAGAGGGTGCGCCAGGAGGAGTCCTCCTCCTCCTAGTAGGAGTAGGACTCCCCCTTTCCTACTCCTACTAGGAGGGGAAAGGAAGGGGGAGAGGGAGAAGGAAAGAGGGGGGGGGGCGCCGCCCCCCTTCCTAGTCCAATTCGGACCAGAGGGAAAGGGGGCGCGCGGCCCATGCTGGCCGCCCCTCTCTCTCTCCACTAAGGCCCATAAGGCCCATTACTCTCCCGGGAGGGTTCCGGTAACCCTCCGGCACTCCGGTTTTCTCCGAAAACGTCCGGAACACTTCCGGTGTTCGAATATAGCCGTCCAATATATCAATCTTTATGTATCGACCATTTCGAGACTCCTCATCATGTCCGTGATCACATCCGGGACTCCGAACAAACTTCGGTACATCAAAACTTATAAACTCATAATAAAACTGTCATCGTAACGTTAAGCGTGCGGACCCTACGGGTTCGAAAACTATGTAGACATGACCTAGAACTATTCTCGATCAATAACCAATAGTGGAACCTGGATGTTCATATTGGCTCCTACATATTCAACGAAGATCTTTATCGGTCAAACCGCATAACAACATACGTTGTTCCCTTTGTCATCGGTATGTTACTTGCCCGAGATTCGATCGTTGGTATCCAATACCTAGTTCAATCTCGTTACCGACAAGTCTCTTTACTCGTTCCGTAATACATCATCCCATAACTAACTCATTAGTTACAATGCTTGCAAGGCTTAAGTGATGTGTATTACCG